CAGTTAAAAAGTTAGAGAGCAGAGCAGAGAAATGTTGCAGTAAATGGATGCGTCTGTTTTTCTTTTTCTTCCAGTATTATGAGTATGTCTGCTTGCGGTATGGGTTACGTTCAGTGGCCCCAGCTGGCTGAAAATTTGGTCTTAAATTAGGTTCTTTTATTAAACCAGAATATTTAAAGCTTATGACTTAATGTTTTATAATACTACGTATAATTCGTATGCCCTAAAGAATCAGTTTGACAGTTTCTCTTAGAGTATATCAATGGTATATCGTATGCATTTATCATCTGTTTACAATATCGAAACAGTTTGGCTGTCTGCAACTTTTCTGCAAGCTTTATTAGCTGTGAAGACAAGCAGTTTTGTAAGACTTGCTTATTTACACTTGGCAAGAACGCTTTCAACCAAGACAGCGGAAGATCTTTTATCAAGATCGTCTGCTCTAATGTGGAACACAAAATGATTGTTGTCACTTTCACAGTCTGCGGTCGGAGACCACACGCGCTAGCTGCGCTACAAACAGACAAACTTCCTCCTCCTTTTGGGGCAAATTCTTCTGAAAACCACAAGGATCACAGGTTACAGCCAAGGTGTGCTTTCACTCTTAGAACACTGAAATTTATGTTAACGGATGCTGTGCTCATAATACTCCCTTCTCTTAGATATTGTAGCCCTCAATCAGGTCATGGGGTCTATACGACCCCAATCGACTTTTACTTAATAAAAAATGGCAAAAAAGGTTCCCTTTATCTCAGTGGAATAAGATTTTGTGACTTTTCATACATTATCTATCTATACACAAACAAAAACTGGGCTTGATTCAGTTGTTCTGAGGGTATTTAAAAAAATGTTTACACTTCTGGTTTTCGGGGTCAATATGACCCCACATTGAAATGAATGGGAAATGTGAAAAAAAAACTCAATTTTCTTCATGTGTGAAAAAAATAATAAAAATTTCGCCATAAATCTGAAAATTTTTACACAGAAATGAAGGGCTAGTACTAGAGCATAAATGCAATGTATCATAAAAAAATATTTCATATGCAAGCTAATGGTGTAGTTGAGGAATTGTGTGGTATATGGATACAAAAGTACTTTAATTCTCCAAAAACACAGCATTAATTAATAGATGAGAAGTAAACAAAAAAAAATCTATATTATTTGTATGATTAAAAATGTATATTTTTTGTACAATTACTCAATCAATCGTTGTGGTCGTATAGACCCCGAAGCCCAAAAGTGTAAACAGGAAACGAAGACCATGAAGGTTAAGAACAGGTTCACATTTTTTATATATGTTTTAAGATCTCTGCTACATTACTCCTGCCCTGAGTAACTTTTAACTCTCTACTTTGTCCTGTAGGCAGATATCTCTTGAGGCTATACTTTGACAAGCATAGCTGATGAACCAGGGAACAAAAGATTGTACTCCTAGCTTTATGTCAGGAGGTGACAGTAGGGCATTGAATCAAAATGGACTGCAGCCATCAGATCGGTTTTCACTTTCCCTGGCTCCTGTGAGTGACACTGTGTCTCAGTTTGCCTTTGAGTTCCCCGACTCCTGCAGAGCCACTGGGGGAAAACACAAATGGATAGTGTTTTACACTGGCGCTTAATTTACGTCCTGCATTGAAGGACTTTTCAGATTTGTAATTCATTGCTTGCTGAGTTTGGACAGATGAGATGTTGCTCTGTGGCGTGGTGTGTGGTCTCCGTTGTTTAAAATGTTCTTGTGAATTTTCTGTGATGTAATAATAATGAGTGTTCTGGGGCCTCATTTATAAAACTTTGCGTAGATTTCATCCTACAAGTATGTGTATACACACAAACTGATTTTTTTTCTTTACATGCACAGGATTTGATTTAGACCATACGTGAATGGTGAATCAAACTGATGGCAGCAAATCTGTGACTTGAGGGATTTCCTGTGGAGGTATACACTATAGGAATAGTGTTTGGGAAAATAGTTGTGACAAGAGGGAAACCATGTAATCCTCTAATGCAGTTCATAGTTAACCTCATTAAATGTGATCTATTTTTTGTATTAGGTGAGTGCTTGAAGGCAGCTGTGTGTTCAGCAGACATTTACTTCTTTCTTAATAGAATATGTTGTGGTTTGAAGTCCCTAGCATGTGATGCTGTTGTCCTTAGCGGGTTTTTCTGCAACCTTGACTAGCAGGATAAACCTGGGACGACCAGCTTAATCAGCTAAGCTTTGGATCTTTGGTCTGGAAACCCGTGTTGGTTTAGCTGCTCTGTGGGGAAAAGAAATCATCTGCTAAATCCCCTAATGCTTATCTTTAAGATATTTGTTGAGCCTACATGTGAGTATTGAAAGCATTTTTGCCCCTATTGTCAAAAGATGTGTTAATGAATTCCCTTCAAGGATGAAAGTTTTTTTTTTATTAGTTTATACAAAATCTGTCTCTTTTCAGCAAGTCTTTGCTCTGCCTTTGATATCAACTGCTCTTTCTTCTAGAAGCAGTGGGTCCAGTTACACATTTTTCCCTTCTCTCGCTCTTTCTCTTCATCCACTGTCTCTCCATGCTGCTCATGTTTCTATTGGAGATGCTGCTCAGATTGCATCATCAGTCTTAATTAGGATCTCCTGTGAAAGCCTCTGGAGCTAATTAATTTTCTGCCTCATTCTCATTTTCTTCCTTATGATGTTCTGTTGCTTTTTGTTGCTCTTCCAAATCCTTGCAGGAGCTCATTGGCATGCCAACTGCTTTGCCTCCAACATATCAGCTGTAGCTCACAAAAGAGACACCCAGTGACATATAGGCCTAGACTATACCATGTAGCCTGAGCTGATATGTTGATCCAGGATACTGATTCATTGTCCACTTGACCCTCAGTGGCATCAGTTGCTGTTCTTTGTCACCAAAACCCTTGTGCACCCTCCCAGCTTGCAGCAAACCTAATAGTCTCCATTTTTTTTTCCAGCTGAGCTAATAAAAAGGAGGCTTTTGTATGAGTAGTGTTTTATGAGGAGCCTATGCCTCTGTTTCTTGCCCCAATATATTCTAATGCACAAGTCGGCAGTTCCCAAAGCCACAGGCCCCACCCGTAAACTTCCTCTGGGTTTGAATAGTGGCATGTGAGTGTTTTTTTTTTTAGTGCCACAGTTTAGTGCTCTTGCATTGTAAATCTATGGTGGAAGAATAAATGTTAATGCACCAGAATAAATGTTAAAATAAGTATAGGCTCAAGACTTAAACATTATACATGTTAACATTTGACTACAGAGATGGCCTAAAATCATTTACTGATATTGTCTATGCAAAGTTACTTATATCTCGTTTTTTGAACATGAACATGTAAAGTCAAGAAGCCCCTGTACCCCCTGTAATTTAGCACTAAGGATATGTTTACACGGAAACGATTCTGAAGAGAAAACACAAAAGTGGCGTTGTGTCATCACTTTTTATTCTGCGTTTAGACGAGCGTTTTGTGTGAGAAATCCGCGTGCAAATGACGACGCAAAAGTGTGTGAAATTCAATGTAGTATGCACTCCAGGCGGCTTGGATACTACAACAACACCAAGTCCACGCACCTGTGTACAACCTTCACTGTCAAGCAGACTTTTGCGTTTTTACCGTTTACACGGTAATAATTTTCCACTCTGGAGGGTGGTTTCACTTTTTTGCATTTTTAAGCCTCAAAAACGCCGTCGCCGTGTAAACGAAAGGCACATCCGATAAAATACTTTTATGTTTTCACCCGCGAGCGTTCTTGTGTAAACAGGGCCTAAATCTCAGGTGAGTGATCATTTTGACCTCTTCGACAAAATAGTGGATTACTCGGTAAATATACTTCCATCACATTTAATATTTTGACTTTCTTCTTAATTTACATATTGCTTTCACCAGAAAAAAACCCTCTGGTTAAGTTGACATGAAATGACCCTTACAATTTTGCTTTCACAATTTCATAGACTTTCATTTTAGGTGCAGTAATAGACTAGGGTGACCATATTTTGATTACCAAAAACCAGGACACTCAGCCCGGCAAACAGATGCTCAAATGATACTCGAAGTTTACTCAAAGATACCTTATTAATTTCAATACATTTAAAGTAGGTTATGCCTCCTCTGTATGGATAGAATTAGAAAATGGTTATTTTTTATATGAAAACAGGACATGTCCTGGGTAAACAGGACAGTTGGTCACCCTATAATAGACCCTTAATGTTTCTTTGTTTATTTGTTCCACAGAAAAAAATGAAGAAAAGTGAGTCTTTGTATAACTGTGAATGTACCTAAATTGTAAACCATATTACTGTATGATGTTTTCCTTGAATTTTCTTTTTGGCTCAGACAGATGACATGCTCAGTTGTCTTATAGGTCAGAAAAAGGTCTGTTTTAAAAAATATAATAAATCTAAGCCTTGTTCACCGAAGTCTCACACTTTATACATACACAAACACAAGTTCCTGCTCCCCTTTGCTGTAGGGCTGTAACTCTTTTCTCACGGCTGACGAGAGATGGCTGCTCTGGCGAGAAGGCTTTTGACCTGGAACCTCCTTCATTGTAACCCTGTCTGTACTCTTTTAAGTAAATACAGCCCTGTGGGAGTGTGTGAAAGGGAGAACACTTGTAAATTAAAGCTGCACTTGGTTGTCATGGTGTGGTCTGGAACTCTGGATTGTTCAACAATATTAATGTTATTGGCCCTGTTGCAATGACATGTTGACAGAGAGATTCTTTTTCTCTTGTTTTGCTCTCTCTGCTCCTGTATGTCTTTGTCACCTACTGAATGTATATACTGCTTTTCAGTGCAAATTATAGTGCAATTTTTTTTGTCTTATCTGTAATGTTATTCAAAATTACATTAACATTGCAATTCTAATGTACAACGACTTGAACAGACGTCTTCTATAATTTTTTCTTCTTCATGAAATAACACGTCAGCTTCTCTTGAAAATGGTATTATGATTTTTTTTTTTTTTTTTCAAGGATCCGTTTACTCATAACTCATCTTGCTCTTGCTTCACAGAAAACCACCATGTTGATGTGGATCATGGCTTCCTGATCAGATCTTCCTGACCACTATCTTCTCTATCCTTGGACTCATCATTGGCTCAGTGATGAACCACACACCTAGTCCCCAAATGACAGAGGCCGCCAAGTCTGGGGCAGGCTTGTTGTGCGGCCTGGGTCTGGGTCCAGATCGGGTTCGCTCCCCGGACAGCCTGACCCACACACCCAGCCCTTCAGGGGGAACACCCAGTTCAAGCCCTCCTTTGCTGCTGTCTCCAGGGCTGGGCTGTGATGGCGCTGGGGACTGGGAGAGCCGTGAGGAGCTGCGTCTGCGCGAACTGGAGGAGGCTCGGGCACGAGCAGCTCAGATGGAGAAGACGATGCGCTGGTGGTCGGACTGTACGGCCAACTGGAGGGAGAAGTGGAGTAAGGTGCGGGCCGAACGCAACAGGGCACGGGATGAGGTTAGGCAGCTGAGACAGCGCCTGGACGCCCTTACCAAAGAGCTGACTGGGGCACGACGGGAGCGCCAGGAACTGGCGGCGGAAAACGAACAACTGCGTCTGGAAGCCCAAAGGGTCCGAGCTGAACAGAACTCCCCAGAGAGCGCATCCACTGCACCAGCATCCAACTCCTCAACTGCCTCCACACACTCCAACCAGCCAAGGGAACCAGACATCAAGCGTGAAAACCAGGATGAGGAGAGCGTGAGAGATGGGCCAGGCTCTCCAGAGCAGGAACCTGTGAGAGATGTAAGCACTGACAAACTAGACAGGCAGAAGGTGAGTTCCTGTAAAGCTAAATATTTTCAGAAAGGTCTAGTTAGTGGGTTGTCTAATTTTTACCGGACTCCAACTGGACACTCAAAATCAACTACATAGACCGAAACAGAATGCAGGGGTGTTTTCTCCCAGGAACAAAGGATTAGGTAGAAAAAAAATCAATTTCAGTTATTATATTCGGATGCAGGAAAGTTTGTGCACTAACCAAAACCGCAGAAAACCATAAGTTCACAGGAACCATATCACCTTTATAAGGGGATTCCTATGCGGTTTGTGAGTGCGCACCCGCGTTTTGAAGGAACATCATCCAAACGAACCCGGTGCACATCAAAAGCGCTTGTCAGAAAGCACATGTATATGTCAAATCAGTTGTATACCAGAATAATACTTGATAAAATTTTTTTTAATAAAACCATTTAAACTCAGATGCTCAAACCACATGACAAACCCATAGAATAACCAAGGCTGTTAACTCTAAAAACAGGTAGACAATTGTAAATGGGTCAGCCACAGACCTGGTTCAGTGTACCACCCTGTGACTTCTTTACCTGACTCTGTGCTTTTTTACTTGTATTCTGGTTTCTTTTTTTTGTCCTATTATTAGAACCAGCACAACCCCCCATGGGGCCACAGCCAGGGGTACTGCACCAGTTCCCACTACCCAGAAACCCCTTTTTCATTCCTAGACTCGTCTGAGCATGTCTGTTATTTCCTTAATGTGTTTTTAACTAATCTTTCAAAAAAAAATTACCCCTCGAACAAATATTCACCTCTATTTTGGTTTGCAAAGAACACGCACCAGCAGAGAGAGGGACGGGAAAATAAATGTCAGTGTCAAACTTGACCTTCAGAGTTTCAAGCATGATGGATGTATATTTCTGCACAGATATCAACAGGGGGTAGCCTAGATAGCTCAAGAGTAGTCTCTCTAATTCCTCTAAACAGTGACAATTACCTGGTGAGAGCAAAATTGTTTTTGCTTTTTTTTTATATTCAGCACAGAGACATGCACCTTTTCTGAAGTAGGATCAGGCATCCTCATTCCATCTTAGCTAAGTAAACAAATACTAGTTAGCTTAGTCTGATTCTCACTGGATTGTTTGATACCATCCCATTTCCTGATCTGATTCCACACAGGCACGCTGAGTGCTTCCACATGTGGAACTCTATGATCTCTATTTGTATGTGTTTGGTTCCCCCTGCTGGTAGGGAGGTGTCATTGCACTTTTTGTGCGATTACTGAACTGTGGCCTTTCTGGGATTGTAGGAAGTTGGCAGCATGTTTAGTGTCTCATGTCTGTATCCTGGGGCTCAGATCTTTGATATGTAATCCCTACTGTGTGTAGGAAGGAAAGAGGAAAGTTGGTGCACTGAACTGTAAAGCCGTTTTTTATTGCTCCTCTAAAGAGCTTGTGAATTTCATCCATGCACAAAGGAAATAAAGGAAAGGTGCAATATGATATTTGTTATGTGGATGACAGAGAAAATGCCTCTTCTGTGGTTTAATTTAATAAGGAGAAAACAAAAGCATGAAAGTCTTTTTTTTGTTTTGTTTATGGTTTCAATTTGTTTTCATTGTCTTGAAACATTGACCTAGACAGCGGTTCTCAGATAGTTTTGCTTCACAACCCAGGTTTTACTTTGGACATTGATTGGCAGTATCAGAATTATTGTACGAAAGTAAACTTTAAATTTTCTATAAGAACTTACTATAATTTCAAGTTAAAATATTATTCTCCCCTTGTTTATCCCTCTTTGTAAGATAACTCAATTTCTGGGTTGTACTATTTTTTTTCGAGGATGAGGGCATGTCATGCAACCTCTTGACTCTTTCTTTCTTTCTTTTTTTTTCTCTCTCGCTCTCTCAGGAGGTGGAGTTATTGGAGGCTCTTCTCAGGGCAAAGTCAGAGGCTCCAGACTCATGGGACCTCCGTAGTGCCAGTAGCTTGCGCTCAGTTCTCAGTCGGCAGGACCGGAGCAGACTCCTGTGGGAGGATCTGGCTTCCCTTGAGGAGGACTCCAGCAAGCTCAATGTTCTCCAGCTACGCCTGGATGAGTCCCAGAAAGTCCTGCTGAAAGAAAGAGAGTAAGAGATTATTGTCCAGGTGGCAAAAATGCATGCATCAAACAGACCAGAACTCAACAAATGAAATCAAAGGCCTTTAGAATCATGGAGCTTCTCATAACAGGGTTATAACGTAGATGTATCCTTCACTGCCAAGGATAAAACTGATAATACAAATTATTATTTCAATTAACTGCTGAATTGCACTCATCATAGACTGGTGAAGGATATATCTATGTTGACTTTAAAATTCACCTACTGGAGGCATATCAGAAGACCAGATGTTTGATGAACAATCTATTTAGATTTGCCTTCACCCTGTCATGATGATGTTAATGATCTGGCCTGTGCTGTGCATGTCAAGCTATCATGTCTCCTTTCTCTCTCTCTCTCTCTCAGAGATAAAAACACACTCATTAAGAACATTGAGAAGCTGGAGGCAGAGCTGAGCCAATGGAAACTCAAATATGAGGAACTGAACAAGAGCAAACAAGAGGCCGTAAAACAGGTGAGAAACATAAGCAACATAACACTTTTTTTAGACTTCAACTGGTCTGCATATTAGGGATAAATGATATAGCGCTTTTCACAATACATATTGTTTCAAAGCACCTTTAAAGAAAGTGTATTTCAGAAATGTACATAGAAAAATACAATTAGTTAATCACGTATTAATTTAGGGCATAACACACCGCCGGTGTTGAGTCAAATACCTTTTATACTTTTTTATAAAGAATACTTTTTGTGCACGAAAAACGAACAAAAATAACGATTTTTCATTTCCTTCATCGTTTAAATGCCACGGCCTACCTGAGCGTTGTTTCCGGCCATGTCCATCCCTTTATGGCTACCATGTACCCATCCTCTGATGGCTACTTCCAGCAGGATAATGCACCATGTCACAAAGCTCGAATCATTTCAAATTGGTTTTTTGAACATGACAATGAGTTAAATTAACTAAAATGCCCCCCACAGTCACCAGATCTCAACCCAATAGAGCATCTTTGGGATATGGTGGAATGGGAGCTTAGTGCCCTGGATGCGAATCCCACAAATCTCCATCAACTGCAAGATGCAATCCTATCAATATGGGCCAAAATTTCTAAAGAATACTTTCAGCACCTTGTTGAATCAATGCCACGTAGATTTAAGGTAGTTCTGAAGGCATCTTAGTTTGGTGTTCCTAATAATCCTTTAGGTGAGTGTATATTGAATATTATCTAAAGGTTGGCTGGAAAACATGTATATTTATTTTTATTTGGCTAGATCGCCCCAACTCTACTGCATGTAGTATGACATTTATTCTTCAACAACTTGCTATAGGTCACTATCAAAAGCCAAATAGTTTTGTAGCAGCTGTGGAAGATTTAGTTTATTTGGCTTCATTGATTAGTATTGGTATTTTAAGCAATTTATTTTTGCTTTTCGGGCATCAGGTCAAGACATAAATTGCTGAGCCTTAATTGTGAACATTAGGATTCTGGCTTCAACGCTGTGTTTCTTATTTGTGGATTGTGCTTGATTTGCAAATAACAAGTAAAGTACTGAAGCCAGAACTCTAACACATGGTATCTCCAGCACTTCTGTGTGGCAAGAGCAAGAAATCCTTGGCCTTTTCTCCAATTTTCCGCAATTTGCAGTGAGAGCTCTAATCAATAGGAAGAATGCATGGTGAGTGCACTGTTGTGTGGGCCTGTTCATCAAAACCCAGCACTTCACCTTCTGACTTTCAGATATCTTCCTTTATAAGTCACAGATCCTCCATGCATGGTCATTCCTACTTCAAATTCATAATAAAAAAGTGGACAAAGTCAAAAAGTTGGACACACCTACTTGTTGTTCATTTTATTCTAAAATGTGGAAGATGATAATAAAGTCATTAAAAAAGTACTGTATAAAATAAGCTATTTAATACAAAAAATAAATTAATATAATCATAAGGTTTATCCAGTTGGGATGCTTTTTTAAAGGAGTTCACATTTAATCTGGCAACATTTTGGCTGCTTTTCCTAATATTATTTTTTAGTAAATTCATAATGTAGGCCCAACTTGTAAACCAGTATTTCATATAAGCAAAAATGATACATATTAAACTTCATAATTTATAGTATAACACACAATTATGTACTATTATGTATATTATATTATACTATTGTATAACTTTGACTGATATTGTTCATAAGAATACCACCAGGGGGCAGTTGTTACCCACGAACGAGACAGTCTGGCATTGTTCATGAATGATTAGACTGCTGCTCAGGATTTCTTTCAGTCAGGCAATTTTATGAAAGACAGCCACACTGATTGGGCCCAGGGAAACTTTCACTCTCAATACAAGCCTTCCATAAAGAGAAAAAGGGACTGATTCATCATCATACACCTAGACCTCGTCACAGGCGGAGTGATGATGAGTAGGAAGAGATGTTCTTCTCTTTTTAATAACCTCAACCTGTAAGGATGTGCATGAATACCATGAGATGATGAGTAGAAAGAGTGTGCACGCTACACTCAGTAGTTTAATAGATGAGCTGCCTGTCCCCAGCCCAGCTGTGTGAGCTCACGACCTGCAGCGAATGTTAATCACCGCGTTTGAGTCACAGTATGCCGAGTGTGAGACGCTCTAGACAGATCAGACTTTGACCATAACGCCCCTCACGCTTAATGGCAAATGTGCTAGACTGTATTGCCATAGAATGTCAGGACAAGTCGTGTTAAATGAGTGCAGTTTCACAGAGTTTCATCAAATGTGAAATGAGTTTTAAACCCAGACTCCTTCACAATTAGAATGTAAAACCTTTTTGAATACCAATGACATATTCAGAGCGTTGCATAGTTTGGTGTAGTGAGGCTGTGCACTTTATTTGAGTACCATAGCTATTCTCTGACAAAGCTAGGGTAAGCTTTACTTCAGATCATAATTTCAGAGATGAACTTAAATGACACTCTCTTTCTTCTGCAGCTGAATTTTTTGAAGGAGGTGCATCAGGATGAGCTGGGCCGGATGTCTGAAGATCTGGAGGACGAGCTGGGAGCTCGCACCAGCATGGACAAGAAACTGGCAGAGCTCCGTACAGAGGTGAAATGCATGTACTTTTGCGGTGTCCCACCCATGCTGCATTGTTCTGAATGGGCCAGCCGGTTCGGTGTCACCTCAGGACTCACTGTGATCTACATCAAAGTTAAACACCCTCAGGGCTTTAAACATCCATCCACTATCTCTCCTGCATTTTGACTAGCACGGCACCAAACACGGCTGGCGTAATGACAGAACGCTGCTCTAACACATTCCCAGCATGCAGTGTTATCAGCGGGGTGGTGCTGAGATGAACCTGGCAGGAGAGAGTGACATTTTGCACTTTGATGCGCTCCTTAAAGAGCGCCGCTTCTCCTGTGTGTCGGCTCAGATCCGCTGTGTCCCCTCATCTCCAAAATCCCATGGTGACCTCCCTTCATCTCTGCCCTCAGGAATCGAGGCATTTCACAGGCACTCCCTCGTCTCAGCAGCCAAATGGCATTATAGAAATATTAATGACTAGTTGGTCTGAAAGAGTTTGGGGTATGAAAGTCAGCCAGCACTTAAGGTGAATCTAGGAGAAACGGTTTCCCATTAAACTGCTTTTAGCGGCAGGTCAGAACTGGGAAATCATGGAGAGCCCTTCACTTAGTTCAACAACATTCTGGGGTAATAGTAGTCCTGTGTGCTAATGCAGCATAAGCATTAGTCCTTCCTGATTATGGGTATACACATGGCGTAATGCTGTGTCTCCATATTTTATATACTTCAAGTTCTGCACACAGTATATGCTTTAGTAGTTTTCAGGAATTTTAGTATGCAACAAAAAATCCTGTTCAGTCGAAATTATTTGTATAATGCTTTTACAATACAAATTGTTCTAATGTTTAACGAAAAAAAGGTAACCTATATAAACTTTTTTGTGTGGATTTTACAAGTGAAAAGAAGTTAATTACTGTTCTTAACAAATTAATTAAACAGACTTGACATATTTGTCTAAAACCGTTTTTATGAAGTATTTATTTACTGAATTAAACAGATTGAAAAATAAAACTCTAAAAGCAGGATATGCAAAAACACCCTTCCAGTTGATTTCAAAAAGGTTAGATCCAAATTTTGGTAAATCTCAAACATGCAATCCAATGCAAGTTGACCTAAGAATGTCACTAAAGTAGAAGCATTCTGTACTAATAAATTAAAGATACTAAAGAACGAATGAAAAGACATTAAAGAAATTAAAAATGTTATTCTGCAAGGGTGCATTAAATTTGTAAAGTTTTATTTAATATATCTATTTTTTAGTTAAGATATCTAATTTATCTAACTATATATAATAAAGTTATTTTATATAAATATATCAAATAAATCAAAACTTTCTTATTCATCAAAGAACCATTGTGGATATTTACATTTAGGGTGAAATGGTGATCATGTTGTGCTTATGGGAAATTTGTACATTAGGAATAGCTTTGCATTCTATTGTGTTGTGTCTTTCTCTGTTATCCTATCTTACTGAATGTTTGTGTTTGTGTGTGTATGTGCAGATGGAGCGTCTGCAGGTGGAGAATGCAGCTGAGTGGGGTCGTCGGGAGCGGCTGGAGACGGAAAAGCTGGCTCTGGAGAGGGAAAACAAAAAGCTGCGCACCCAGATGGAGGACCTGGAGGAGCAGCTGGCACGCAAGCGCAGGCAGGCCGCCAGCGCCCTGGACACTGACCTCAAGACCATCCAGTGTGAGCTTTTTGAGAGGAACAAGGTGAGTGAAGGAGAGCGCAGTAACCTCACACAAATAATCACAAACCTATATAAGTAAGCATTTCTCAACATCTCGGCACTATACAGCATATGAGAGATGGATGAGGTGTGGTGGCAGTTTGCAAAGTATCTGAGCCTCTTCCTGCAATAAATCCAGTCAGTGTCACTGACGTAAAGAGGCCATATCCATCAGATCCTGTGCGCCCTGTTCTGCAAGACAGTGGATGTGTGCAATAGCTGCCACGCGGTTTTGATGGACGTCTTATGTTCTATATTGGCTGTGCTGAGAAAGTTGTTCAGTGTGTGTGTGTTTGTAAGATGCTGGTGAGGCTCTATTAAAGTAGTGTGTCAGGAAATCCAGACACTTATGTCCAGAGCCCTTATGAGCGACCATTAGCTCAGCCAGAGATTTATGAAGTGATCCAAAGCTCCCCTCATATATACGCTGTAAATCACTCGCTCACTCACTCTTACTATAGTAGGAAAGATTTAAAGAGAGCGGTGAAGAGGGAAAGATGAATATGAGCAGAGTGAGTTGTTTTAGAGCCCAGAGGTATGCTGAAGGGAAAGGAACTGAGTGAAAGGGGTTAAGAGTGAGCATAGCATGTCAATTAATCCAGTAACAAGGGAATAGGGATATTGTGCCAGGAAATGAACATGTAATCCCTGCATGCAAGGCTCAATGTGTTGGCTTATTTGTTAAATGCACAACATATGGCCGTCTGAGAATGGTGTTGCGCATGTGTGTGCGCGTGTCCACATGCTGTTGCACATTCCCACACGAGTGATGTCCTGATAGTGGCCGGCGGCCTGCAGTCTGGGAGAGAAACACAGCGAGATTGATGAGCTTGCTCAGGAGCTGTTGAAGCAAATGGATCGATGAGGACAGGAGCGGAGAAACAGGCCACGGCGCACTGAGGACGATGCACCATCGCTGACAAAAAGAACAAAGTGTGATTGATACTGAAATCATATTCCGCTCCAGCCGCTTTCTCGCTTTCTCCTGCGTTTCCTTCGGCTCTCACCCGTAGATTGATGTATACTGTCATATTTGCTGTTAAACCCAGTATGCGCAGAATATTGGGAATGAGACTCCATGGCTACTTCGTGTGTGTGTGATTTTCTGGTGTTTGCCATCCCTACAAGAAAGGGATCACTCATTAGTACTAGTAGCATCTTTGTACTCAAGGCAGGGTTCCCAGAGTCATGGAAAACTAGGAAATGTCAGGCAATTTCATTGAGATTTGTAGGAGTGGGAAATTTCTGTAGTGAATATTTAGTGTGTTTGTGTGCGATTTGATTTTTATATATAAATGCATTTATTTTGAATTTTCTATTTATCAAAGAATCCTGAAAAAATGAATCAGGGTTAACCCCAAAAATATTAAGCATCACAGTTTTTAACCCTTAAAGACTATATGGATGCTGGCGGCAAAAAAATAACTGTTTAAGAACTTTTGAACCGCTACTCCAATCCATATGCTCCCATAAAGAGGAGATTCACATCTTTTCTGTGTTAACGGGTTAATCGCGTTTGGACATTCAGAAGCCCCGTAGTGAATGTGATTGCTTCATCAAAGTTTTGATCAGCATTGATTCGTCAAAGAAACCCGTGCGGTTTGTTCCTCTGAGCCAATCATGAATTATTGTTGATGCTTAGTCCCACCCCATGCCCAAATTGGTTGTCTACTCAACCAATAAACATGGTTGTTGGTCTTTTGCACAACCAGTTGGCTTTATGCACGGCTGCACTACTTCCTGAACTTCAGCCAGCTCCTTAGTTTCCTGTCTTCCATTATTGGACAAACTGATTAATCCATGTGTGTCTGATTATTGTTGTTGTGACTACTGAGGTCAGACACACCTGGATTAATCAGTTTGTCCAATAATGACAGACAGGAAACAAGGAGCTGGCTGAAGTTCAGGAAATAGTGCAGCTGTGCATAAAGCCCATTAACACCTTTCTTTGGAAATTTGAACTGAGGCACGGAGGTAAAGTGAAAGTAGTCTGTGTGTGTGTTTATATAAAGTTTATTTTGCTTCAGTGTTCTTTTACAATCATTCCATTTTTTTTTTACTTCCTAAACTTTTTTTGGACACATCTAAATAATAAAAATAAAAATAAATAAAAAATACTAGCTTTTCACTGAAAATCGCCTATAATAATGTTGTAATATATGGCTATAACTTGCTTAGGGATTGTTACATGTAGTCAAAATTACATCTGGAAATTTGTAATATCCAAGTACATCTTTCTAACAACTTTTTTTGGAGGATTTGTTTGAGTTGAGTAAAAAAAATCACTAAAAATATGCTGCCGTTTTTCTTAAATCTGGTAATAAATGTAAAATTGGATTATTTAAATGAGATCGATTGAAACTTCAAGTTTAAAATGATATTTGGCACTTGATGGGGGACGCGACGCCCAATATTCAACCTGAAAATAGTCATATAACCTTTGCAATAACTCCGAAGCTATTCAGTTAAGGTAAAAAAAAACTGCATAGTGCTGCTTTAAGGGGGTTAACACTGATAATAATAAGAAATGTTTCTTGAGCAGCAAATCAGCATATTAGAATGATCATGTGACACTGAAGACTGGAGTAATAATGCTGACAATTCAGAGGAATAAATCACTTTTTAAAAATATAAAATAAAATAGGAAACAGTTTTTTATAGTGATACTATTTTGAATTATTACTATTTTTACTGAATCTTTAATAAAAAAGAGACTTCTTGTATATAAAAAACCCGTTAGCCCTTTCATTCATCTCACCCTGTCTAAAAATCACAGAGATTTCCTATTAGCAATCAAATTATTATTTTTTCCTTCTTAAGAAGGAAATGCAAAAAATGTAAAGTTTAGATGAATATCCGCGGCTTTAAGGCCTGTATCACGGCCCTTTTGTAACATGCTGTCTGGTGCCTATCTGGAAGAGGCACACTGAGGTTGGCCGAGGCTCAGTCAGAACTCAATCTGACTGAGACAGCGGTGTGTGTACAAACACACAGCTGCAGGTCGGCACATCACACACACATCAAAAAGGCTCCAGGTGAATCGTGCAGGTGGAGATTCTGCTTTTGGTTCTGCTGTTGTCTCTCGTTTGTTTTTTTGTGTGCGTTTGTTTTGATCAGGGACTGGTTTTGTTTGGGACCGTGACCTCTTACAAACTTCAAAGCATGTTTGTGTGGGGCTAATACATGATGACGCTTGTGTTTCAAACAAACACGAATAAAATGATTTAGGCCTCCATCCAGATGGAGGAACATTGGCAAAACAGGCTGTACAGGGTTTTTTTTTTTTATTCCTAAAGGGTTTGTTGAGTCTAGATTAGACAAGCTTTGAACTGGAGTTAAAGTCTGTCTCTTTGCTCCCGGATCAAAGAGAAGTTTGTCTTTCTGGAGGTCAGTTTAATACCATACTTTTTCAGTCTCTCTCACTCATTTTTTTTGTTCATTTCTCTCTCTACAGATCATTTGCATTCTAGTCAAATGTTTTACCACACATACTGCAATATGTTCTAAAATGTAGAATGTTGTAAAGTAGTTATGAAGTCAACTGTGAATTCAGATTCCATGTGGTTGTGAGTATAACATTTCGAAGTATGGGAAAAATTGAGATTTTTCAGAAATTGAATCGTTATTAAAGTTATTTGTAATTATTATATAAATATATTTAGGCACAGGTAACATTTACATATTTATTTTAATTATTTATTTATTTTATTTTTTATTTGTAATGCCCTTTGATCTGCACTATACACAAGTATATAAATAATTTTAATATAATTTTTGAACTATAGCATAACACAGATAGTTGAGAAATTGTCTTGTGAAATAAATATGGTTACTGTTTAAATCAATTGAAAAGTTTTATACAGTAATGCTAATAAATGTTATTATAATATATAATATATGAAGAGTTCAGATGCAAAAGCCTCTAAATGCCATTTGAAATTTTCTTCTTTAATGATGATTTTTATCAAACTTGTATATTTAAGTTCAGTAATTTCACTTAAATAACAATTAATAGGTAATTATCATTGCCATTAAGTGAAATCACTGAACTTAAATATACAAGCTTGATAAAAATGATCATTCTAGAAGAAAATTTCAAATGGCACTTAGAGGCTTTTGCATCTGAACTCTTCATATATATATATATATATATATACCGGTTATTAATTTATTTCAATACATTTATTTCAATCAGTTAAGGATAATAATTTAAGTCTAAAGATTTTGAGGATCATGGAAAACAAGTGTCCTGTCTTGAATTTTCTCCATATACAGATGTGTTCTTCACGTTCTGTTCAACAGCCTGCCTCTCCTTAAACTCCTTCAACATCTGGCCAGCCACTTGCTCCTCCACACAGGTGTTTATGCCTCCTGCTCTGATGGCGTAGAGAGCGAGTTCATTCATCAATCACAATGATTAATGAGCCTATATTGGCTGCTCATCTGCTGCTGTTGCTCCTACTTTCTGATGGAAATGCAGTAAACAGTATCGGCGGCCAATGTGGGAGCCCATGTGCTCTGATTTGCATCTGGTTTTGGAAGCAGCAAATGAATCTGTGTGTGTGTGTAAATGAGCTTCTCTAGTCTGCTACATCTGGAGTAAGCCAGTGTGAAATGAATTGTCTTGCCTTTCATTTTCTGGGCTGCTTCTCCAGAGGTTTTCCATTTGGGCCTGCTGTGTTTTTCTCATAGGGGTCGCCCTTATTATTGAGGTGTCTCATGAACATTTTCATCCATCACCATTTGCCAGCTCTCATTCCTCTAACTTTGTCCTCGGAAATGTTTATGATTATTCAATTTTTATGCAGTGCAAGAACTTAAATGTGAAGTGTCATTTTTGCACCAGTGGCTACAAAAAAAGGATTTGGAAAATAACTTTTTCCAAACAAGTTTCCATTGTTTTCAAACAAGTTTCAAACAAGTTTCACTTAGCTTTGTTTTTATTTCAGTTTGTTATTTTAGTTCAACAAACTTTTATTCTAA